TGTGTTCGATTTTTGTGTAATATTTTTTTGGTTGATCTACTTATATAAGAAATGATCTACGTTCACCCTACCCTTAAAATTTAGAGTTTTTTTTTAAATTCTAAAATTTTTTTAAAAAAAACTTTTTTTTTTACTAAGCAAATCTCTCTTTGACTTCTAAGTAAACTTGTAGAGAAGTGTTTTGTAATCAAAATGATAGTTAAAATATTAAAATTGGCTTAGTAAATTATAAGATATAAGTACTTTAACCTTCTTATATATAGGTGAAATTAATAGAAAAGAACTAAATTTTTTCCAAGTAAAAGTTTTCTTAACTTTAAGCTTAAATATCTTAGCAATTATTTTATCAAATTTAATAATTATTTTTTTATTTTGATTCTTTATAATTTTAAAATTAAAATAAAAAAATTTTGAGCAAATTTGATTAATTAGTTGTTGAGATATTTTAACTTAAAAATTAAAAAAATTCTACTAAAAATAATTTGTCTTACCCTATATTTTCTTTATTTATATAAAGAAGAAAACATATAATTACAAAGACTAAAATACCTATATCTTATGATTCACTAGGCCGATTTTAATGGTTTAATTACTATTTTAACCACAAAACACTTTTTAACAAGTTTATTTAGAGGTTTACTTAGTAAAAAAAAAAGGTTTTCTTTAAAATTTAGAGTTTTTTTTTGAAATTTTAAGTTTTTTAAAAAAAAACTTTTTTCTTTTTTTGACTTCTAAGTAAACTTGTAGAGAAGTGTTTTGTAATCAAAATAGTAGTTAAAATATTAAAATTGGCTTAGTAGATCATAAAATATAAGTACTTTAGTCTTCTTAACTATATATTTTCTTTATTTATATAAAGAAGAAAACATATAATCATGAAAACTAAAGTACTTATATTTATAATCACTCAACCACCATTTTTGATTACAAAATATTTCTTTACAAGTTTACTTAAAAGTCAAAAAAGGTTTGCTTTAAGAAATTTTAAATTTCAAAAATAATAAAAAATAAAAAAAGTTAAATTTGATTGGTTAAAATTAATGTAGTGTTGAACCCAATTACCTTTTTGGTTTAAAAGATTTTTGTAACAAATTTTTACAAAACTTGTTTTTTAATAAAGATTTATTTTTTAAGTTTGGCTTATAAAAAGTTTATTTTTTTAATCTTTTTTAATAAAAACTACTACTATTTATTTTTGTTATGTTTTCTTTTTGCTTATACTTTTAATACTTTTTGCTTATTGCAATATTTTTTTTTGTAAAATTTGTAATTAGCCTTAATTAATAACTGTATTAGCTTTTAATAAAAAATCTTTTTATTAAAAAAATATTTTTAAAAAATATATATATTAAAAAACAAATTAAAAATAAAAATTATAAAAAAATTAAAATAAGCTACCAAATTAAAAAATATATGTTTATTAAAACAATATATTTATGCTAAATAGCAACCCCAACAAGATTTGTTAAGTTAAATACTATATATCATAAAATACTGTAATAATTGTTTATACAAAATCATCAAAATTGATATATAATTGATAATTTAAACATCTAAAGACAACATATATTTGCTAAAATATTAGCACGCATAAAAGGTGAATCATAAAAAGCGTTGAATCATGAATAAATCAAGTATACACCCAAAATCGAGGAAATACTCAATGAAATTTTAATCAAAAATGAATATAAAGTTAAATGGTAAACAAAAACAAATTGTGGTAGATTATAATGATTATTAAAGTTTATGATTCTATATGGGACAGAGTAGAAGATGAAGGTAATTCTAAAGTCTGTCTAAGGTCAGTGTGATCGATTTCTCTACTATCATCAATATTCAATATTTTTTGATCATTTAAACCTTCAACATTTGACTTCACACCAATATCACCAAATTCGCCTTTCACCACAGCCCCTTCAAACAAATAAATGTTAGGCTCCACAAATCGATAAGGTACAGGTTTTGAAGACGGTTTAAGTTTTTTGTGAACCAACTCCCACCCTAAAAGTCTACAGAGTTCAGGTATGATAACGTCACAATCACCAAGGAGCTGGACGTCAAATTGCATGTGTGTTATGGGAGTTTTGTTGATTACAATCTGAGGAACACGATGAGGAATTTGCCCTATACAAAAGAATTCGAAAGTTAGTTAAAAACGTTTTAAAATAAATAAAATAAAAAATGCGTCAATTATATATCAGATTAAGCAATTAAATTTAAGTAAATCGACATTTTTCCAAACTAAAAGAAATGAATGAACAGAATAGCAATAAACATACCCATTATTTCGCTAACTGGAGCCACCTTTAGACTACTCCCCATCACAATTAACAGATCAACTTTTTCGCGATCTTTGGGAAAGCATTGGTCAAATTCAGGAGGTAATTTCTCACCAAAGAAGACAATATCAGGTTTCATGATTGACAAACATTCTTCTGCGTCATCTTCGTTACGTAACTTCTTACATTTGGGACAACGAGGTACTCGTTGATTAAGGATATCATCTTTGATTTCACTACCATCGACTTTATATTCACACACTATACAACTAGCAGTTGCAAAAGAACCTAGAAAATGTAAAATTGATAATTAATTTCAAATTGTATTAATAATTATTAAAGAAAGTAATCTAAGATACGGATACCATGGCATTGTAGAACGTTCTTAATTCCAGCAGCTTGTTCCAGGGTATCAATATTTTGGGTGTAATTTCTTAAAAGTTTTCCTTTTTCTTCCAATAATTTAATGAAATAGTGTGAAGGAGATGGTGTGAAATTACTGGGATATATTTCCTGTAATAATAAAAAGGTTATATCGCCAAATACAATCAAATTTGGACGTAATGGTTCATCAATTGTCAAACTTAATAATACCTTGGCGAACGAATAAAAAACATCAGGACAATCTCTAAAGTAATTGATATCAAACATATCTTGTGGGTCATCCAAATCAAATTCTGATAGCCGAGAATAGATGCCGTTCTCGGAACGAAAGTCTGGTATTCCACATGACACGGAAACCTGATAAGTTCTATGCACATTAATTTCATATAAAGTTTATTATGTCTAGTTAGTAATAAAAGAAAAAATATAAAATCACAACCCACCCCTGCGCCTGTCAAAACCATGATATTTTTTGAATCTCGTAGCAATTCGACAACTTGTTCTAATGTATTAATATTTGACAGTTTTTGACGTTGCCGTAAGAATTTTGCAACAATTTTATGTAGAACTGGAAGTAATTGCATATCTGGAAGGTCGTTAATTCTCCTTGGCTATTATAATATTAGCATTGAAATCAGAAATATTATAAAATGAGTAAAACAAAAAATAAGAATAAAAAAAAATAAGGTATTATTATTTAAGTTTGGTAATTTTATAACTAACCAATTTATAATCAAAAGCGTAAAATAACTTCTGAAGTGGAATATGTTTTTCAAGAAAGTATTCTTGAATGAACTTCTGAGTTCCTGAATTTACAAATAAAATGATAATGAGATATAACAAGCACAAGCATACAGATTAACGAAGAAAAGGTGAAAATAATAAATAATACCTTTCTCTTTAGCTTCTTGTTTTAAATGCTCGCATTCATCATCATCCAAACATGGAAGATCTTTCAGAATCAAGTATAACTTGTGTAAAAGATTATATTATGAGAAAAATCCAGACATAAACACGGTAAAAAATGTACTTTGATCTTCCTCGTCTAATAATTGTTCTTCTTCTTCCACAATTTGGTCGTTGACATGATTTAGATGGTCAATAATATCTTCGATAGAAGAAGTTTCATCACTGCTGTCATTGACATGGTCACCCTCGTTCCAATCTTCATCGTCTTCGTCATCGTCTTCTTCAACAAAAATGCGCTGTTTAGGATGTGAGGAGGAAGAGTGTGAGAAGTAAAGGGGGGAAAATTGGGTCTCATCGCCCACACGAATCCGTTTGGGTGAACTAAGCCCAGCGACTTGATCTGAATTTTCTTCACGTCTTCTAGTCAACATATGTTCACTGAATCACTACCAAGCATATACTTTAAGTCTATTGAGGCTTTTATTTTTTTTTTTATTTGAACAGCTTAAAGACGACGGCAAGACCGAAATTGTCACGAAGGTAGACTCGTCAAGAGGCAATGAGCTAATTAAAGATGGAAATAGATTACAATTTCTGATGTCAGTAAAGATTTGTTTATGTCAAAGTTATGTGGGAGCCTTTCTTTCGTTTTGTATGACAGAATAGAATTTGCATTCACAAATTCACGGCTTCTTATTGGTCAACTACGGCTTCATTATTAATAATACACAAATTTCTGAATTTATCACGTGTTTATTTCGCTAAGACTTTTGATGTATATTCAAAATTTCTGAAACAAAAAATCTAATGCTTAACATTATAATTTAAATACCGAGATTTTTTCCAGAAACAGTATTTATTATTAATTAAATAATCTATGGTTTAATAAAAATTGAATAACGACAACAATTAAAACTTTTATTAGAAGTTAACAATCCTGAAATCCAATCTTTTTTTGATAATGATAAATTTACATTTCCTGATTGTTAACAGGAATAACTTACTAAAGAAAAAATTTTTTTTAGTCATTTTTATTAGTTATTACGTAATTATTTACCGTTACAATAAGAATGACATTGATCCCTGCAGTATACCCATATGAGTATATGATGGCACTGCAACGTCACATCAATATGATTGTATAAATCGTTGTACCAAAAATTTCCCAGAAGTATACCTTACCCAATGTCAGACCTGGAGGATATCGACCCTTTTTCAGATACTCTTCCCTTTTCGGATACTCTTCCTTATACTATAAACGATGATTCTGACGATAGTTTTGAAAAAGAGGAAGAAAACCAGCTTATCTCAATAAACTTGAATTATCAGCCAGAGGTTAAAACACAATTTTGTTGTCAACTTGATAGGGACATTCACCAAGGCGACTTTTTCATTCAAATTACTGGTGCACAAAAAACAGCTGATAATGCTGGAAGCACTTTTATCACGTATACTATAAAGGCTGGGGTAGGTAATCGATTCATTAACTTGTTCCTGACTTCAGCAGTCTTTAATATTTGTCAACTCTCTTAATGCCTTATAGGATCAAGAAGTTAGGAGACGTTATTCGGAATTTGAATCATTGAGGAAATCGTTAATGCGTTTATACCCTACCTTAATTGTTCCACCAATTCCGGAAAAGCATTCAATCGGTGATCTATCAAGCTACCTACTCCATCCTTTTCTTATATGATGGAAAGGCGGCAAGATTTCTTTTTTCCATTTCTTGCCTAATGTTATCGGTTTACATTAAACATAGATCAACCTATGTCAACTTATTTTTGACTTATACTGTGACTACGAATAGCTGATTACGCGACCATGCAAGGCAAGGCCAAAGAGGACCTTACGATAATTGAAAAACGCAAAAGAATGCTACAGAGCTTCTTAAATCGTGTATCAAAACATCCACAATTGTCAGGAGAACATGTATTTCACAGATTTATGGAAAGCAATGTTTCTTGGGTAAGTCATAATTTCATAGTGATATTTCAGGTTTGCGAAAGTTTATTGGATCTTACTAATTTATAATTATTATAACCTTCTAGAGTGAAGTGCTTCATTCCTATCCACTCTCTTCTCTTCCAAAGAACATTCTTCAAACATCACCTGTAAATCTTTCACAATCCAATATTTCACCCGTAGATTCATCTGCCCATCCACCGCTCCTTACTCCAAGTGCATCACAACCCTTGAAAAAACCTGATCCCAAGTTTCTTGAATCTGAGGCTTTTACAAAAAAATTTTTATATCATATTAGCCAAAATATGGAAAAGACGAATAAAAGGATTTGGAAACGTTTGGGTGGTGCGGTTTTATCTTTTCCATTGATTTTGTATGATCACTTTGAACTGGATTTACAGGATTTCTATACCTTTTGCATTCAAATTTTAAACTCAACTTTGATTATTTTTCATGCATATATGAATAGATTTTTCCAACGATTATGCTGAATTAGGGGCAATTTACAACGGCTTTAGCTTAAATGAAAGTGGTGACTTAGCAAATGCCATTGAAAAAGTAGGGCAAGCTGTGGATTCCACTTATGTGGCTACAGGAGAACTGGTAAAAATTATATATTTGTACTTGAATTTTAATTTAAATTCTCAATAACATTTAATTTCGATTGCAAGGTTTCATCACTTGAAGCTGAATTCACCGAGCCATTACAAGAGTATTCACAATTCGCGTCAGTAATTAAACAAGTTTTGAATTATAGGCACATGAAACATTTACAAATGGAGCTTACTGTTGAAACACTTGAAAGACAAAAAGCTGCACTGGAGGGGCTGGAAAAATCCGAAGTTGAGGCTAAAAGGATAGAAGAAGTTTTGAGTAATGAACGTGTCAGTCCGGCCTCGCTGTTTCAACCAAATGAAAATAACGATAATTATGAAAATGATCATTATGAAGAACTATTCCAAAATGGTGATACTTCATCATCTACCGGAAGTGGTCATAATAAGAAACTCAGTGGCTCGAAGATCTTTTCTGTGTTAAGTCATACTATTCATGGTATAATGGATGTAGATCCGGAGGCTACCCGTAGAAATAGTATTGGCAAAACTCGTGAATCAATCATTCATGTTAATATTTATTTCATATCATTAATGTTTATTTATGTGTTAATAATTTTAACAATTATTCAATATATTTAATATTAGTTAGAAGAAGCTTTAGAAACTACGGCTGATGATCTAAAGAAAATATCTACCTCTATTCAAAATGACCTTGACCGCTTTCAACGACAAAAGGTTCTGGATTTGAAAGAGATGTTAATCGCCCACGCAAAAAATCATCTTAAATGGTGTAAAAAGGTTCGTTATCACTTTACTAAATTATATAACGGATAAACTTATTAAAAATTTTCATTAAAAGTCCATTTTTATATCACATGAAATATCAGAATTTAAGTAATTGGGAAGAAGCGAAGGCTGAAGTTGAAAGGGTTCAGACGTGATCCACCAAGTGAAACATCGTTAGCAAATGACTTGTATATTTAACTATTTATTATTATTGTAGCAAGCGTTAAATCAATTGCGATAGCACATTTTTGGTATTATGAGTATTACTGGCATTGATGCCAAATATATATATATATATATATATATATATTTCTTGAGTTTAATCACAAGACATTTTGTTTTTGTGCTGGCGATTAAAACATAAGTCTATTTCTTTGTTAAAATTATAGAGAAAATAGATTAACGTTATTGGTTAAATGTTCTTGGTTTCATGAAATATTTCGTCTTGTTATTTTGTTAGTTAACAAAATAAATTTTCTACTGTACAAAAAAAAGTGTTTAATTAGTATTAATGAAAATAAAGCTGTTTATATATAAAGGTTAACAAATATTACATGATAATATCTTCAAAAAGGTTTATATGCATGATTTTGGATTATTCACATAGTTGGAATTTTCGTGCTTCATTAGAAAATTTTGCTCAATCAATAAGCTATTAAAATTTACTATATAATTTATTAAATAACCTAATTTGCTTTTAGTAATGCCATTTATAGAATACAGAATATTGTAAAAGTTTTTAATACATTGTAGGTATAATATTCTATATATATATACAGTATATATATAGGCGGTCAATAGAAAAGACAAATTTTTTCTAAGTAAAAGTTTTCTTAACTTTAAGTTTATATAACTTGGCAATTATTTTATCAAATTTAAATAAATTTTTATTTTGTTTTAATTTTATATAATTTTAAAATTAAAACAAAAAACTTTTTAGCAAATTTAATTAAATAGTTGAAAAAAATATTACTAATTTTAGATTGTAAAATAAAAATTATTATTTTACATTATATATTTTTGATTTATAAATTCATGTTAACTTTAGAGTTGAAAATAATTATAGTTGATGCTAAAATTTTACAAGAAATATTTTTGTTAAAACCCTAAAAGCTGATTTATAATAAGGATTTTGTATACTGATCTGAATGACCCTTTCAACCCTTTCAGGAGCACTGGTCGTAACTAAAGATGCTGGTGAAATAGAATTAGAGTGGTAAAATTGGTGGTGAAATTAATTTCACCAGCATCTAAGTCATAATCTTCGTAATCTAGAATTATTACAGCTCGAGTTAGAATTTACGAAAATCAAGACAAATTTGAAACTTCATTCATACATCTCATAAGAACTAACGTTCACAGGGTTCGTTTACCCTCGTTTATCGCCTATTAACGAAGTAATTCACGAGGTCACAATAGGGTTGCGACCCATACTTACTATAAAGTTTGGGATTTGGTAGAATCTCAAATAGTATTTACTAGGTTTCGCAAAATGCATCTAATTTGCCGTAATGTCAAACACTTCTGATATATAAAATATTACAAGTAGAAATCCCAAATTTTTTACATGTAAAATTAGGTTTGGGACTCATCCCAGAGATACTGTTTAAAGTCCGGCACCTTACGAAATCGTCCGGCGACTTGACGTCAAAACGCGATTTACCTTGATTTGATTTGCACACTCTTCATATAGCCAACACTTCGTTCACTCCGTTTCTAATATAAATTTACCGTTACGATATTGATAGAATAAACCATTATAACAACAAGATTCATTTTTTTATGCGGATCCCAAAATCAAGTGAAACGAAATAGGTAGTTTAAAAGTGGATAATCCATGCTAGTGCAATATATGTAATACGTAAATTGATAATATAGCGATAGAACAAGTATAACTTGCTTAAATTATATATATAGTTTTATATATACTTAAAATGACGACTATTATAGAATTATGTTTCTTTGATCACATAACATTTCGATTGCATTTTTTCATTTAACCTCATGCATACGTCGGGGAAAATGGGACATTGGTTTATCATTGATTATTTAAACAATAAATGATAAACCAATGTTCCATTTTCCCTTGGCGTCACTCATATATAGAAATCCCAAGGTGAAATCATAAGAATGGATTGTCTAATCAGATGCGCATTAAATATAATCATATTCTTCGTTGCACTTCGTTCCTGATATTATCTGACAATCAGTTTCTTCCGGTATAAGTTTTAACGATGAATATGAATTCTTCTTGCTGTTTATTACGTGGTAACACTAACAAAATTTTTACGTTATTGGCTTAATAACTATATTTAATTATTTGAATAATCGATCCATCCATGGTCTTGAATTGGATTCAATCTTTAGATTATCAATCTTTAAACTTGAATATACCTGATTAAAAGTCGAATTTGCTTGAATAATTTAAAGATTATATACTATTAAATGCACATGAATTGATCAGTGTTTGCACTTGGTATATGTCCATATTTTTTAAAAAATTTGGACTATGTCCAAACCTATATGTCTATGTCCATATAAGTCCAAATGTCCATATTGCCAAACACTGGAATTGATAGTTTTTGACACTATTTATCGAAATGGGATACATGCTTGGGCTTTGGTTATGAACCAAAACTAGGTAGAAATACCGATTCCCAAACCCAACTAAGTAGAAACGCCGTAACTAAAAAGAGTTTGGGTTGCCAACCATTCATCATAATTTCGACGAGAGTAAATAATTTAATATGTCAGAATGAAACAATGCTAAAAATAAAAGTCGAGGTTGAAAACGGAAAAAAAATATCGCAACCTTTCTTTTTAAAGTAATACCGAATTTTATGTCATTTTTTTAGATACATTTAGAGATATATATATTCATCAATTCTTAAAATTTTTTAAACTTAGCTGAACTGGTCGATCAGTTAGGCCATATAAAATTAATTGTTTCTCATAATTTGAATAATATTTTTCAATATTGTATAAAATTTTAGTAATTAAAAGCTGGACGGACGTGACTTTAAAATTGAAAATTAACTAATTAACTTTAGGACAGACCCAAGCTAAATATATAGTTTGGAAAAGTATTTTATAATTATAGAGCATACTAACCCAAACCAATAAATAGTATTCGACTAACGCTAGCCAACAAATTTATTCGGGAAATACCCGGAACAACAACGGCGAAAACCGAGATGTTGTAATTAACTAACCCAAATTTTACTATAAAACTATCTTCCGACTTCCAACGTAATAAATGACGTTCGTTTTTTTGTTTTTTTATACAATTAAATATGGAACTTTTAATGTTGAGGATCGGAGCAGAGTGTCCGATGTTGCTGGACATAATTAGTATTTAACATTGTATAGCATGATGGGCTTGTGAAGAGCGAAATTAGCTGCCTTAACGAGTGTCAATTTTCTTCAAACAAATTGTAATTTATCCGCCGAAAATTGCATGTCATGTGATCTGATCTATTCGCGAAAATGCAAGTACGTACGTACGTGTCGGCAATTTCTATCTTTTAACGTATGAATTACGACATTAATAAAGCATTACTGCATAAAATGAAAGTGATAAGCGAGGTTGTGACACTTAATGTGTGGCGCAATAGCTTTTCCCTAAATCATACTAAATCATACAATACGATCTAGAATTCAATTCAACTCCTCGGCCTAAAACAACCAATCTTTTTTTTTTTTAACAAAGAATCAATATAAAGCTCGTTGAAGCTATCACTGTATTTTTCATTTTTACTTTTTTACTTTTTTATTTTACTGCTTATTCGAATCAATTTTAATAAAACGTAATGGGACAGAGCGATCTCGATGAGTAAGATGTTTTTTTCTTACGATTCATCCGCCAACTTTTTTTTCTCTAATCGTGAACTCAAATCTTCGACAGACAAATTGAAAAACTCCGCAAATGCGAATTGATTTCAGAAAACGAAGTAAAAGAACTTTGTCGAAAAGCTAGAGAAGTTTTAATAGAAGAAAGTAATGTTCAAAGAGTGGACGCGCCTGTAACCGTAAGCTTTTTTTTCCTTTTTATATAAAGATTTGTGATTTGTACTTTTTTTATGTTGTAATATTTCTCATTAAAATAGATTTTTCGCTAGATATGTGGTGACATACACGGGCAATTTTATGATCTTAAAGAATTGTTTAAGGTCGGTGGTGATTGTCCGGATACGAATTATCTGTTCTTAGGTAACTTTCAATTTCTATTCATGATCTTAGTATTTGTATTTATATTCATCTTTTTTTTTTTTCCTTCAGGGGACTTTGTAGATCGTGGCTTTTATAGTGTAGAAACGTTTTTATTGCTGCTCGCTCTCAAAGTATAATTCAAACATTTAACTTTCTAGATTGTCTAATAAAATTTTGAACAAAAAAAAGATATTTAATTTTCATTTTTATATTATAGGTACGATATCCAGATAGAATAACATTGATACGCGGTAATCACGAATCACGGCAAATTACACAAGTTTACGGATTTTACGATGAATGTCTTCGGAAATATGGATCTGTAAACGTATGGAGACATTGCTGTGAAATATTCGATTATATGAGCTTATCTGCAATTATTGAAAACAAAATATTTTGTGTGCATGGTGGACTATCACCTGTAATTAGTTCATTAGATCAGGTAATATATATAATATATATGATTAATATCGCCTTCGTTCGAATGCATTAATTTTTTATTTTTTATTTTTTTTTAGATTCGTACTATTGATAGAAAACAAGAAGTTCCACATGACGGTGCCATGTGTGATCTACTATGGTCTGATCCTGATGGTAATTCACTAAATTTATTGTTACAATATTGAAATTCTTGTTAAACAATACTTATAAATGAGTGTATTTGGTTCTCTAGACATTGAAGGATGGGGGATTAGTCCTCGTGGTGCGGGTTATTTATTTGGTGGTGATATCGTTGCTCAGGTAGTATTTATATTATAATTTTTGTGTTATTTTATAATATTATTTATTAAAAATACCTGTATATATGAAAATTCTTAGTTTTTACAAAACAATAATCTAGATTTAATTGCAAGAGCCCATCAATTGGTAATGGAAGGTTACAAATTAATGTTTAATAACACTATAGTTACCGTTTGGTCGGCTCCAAATTATTGCTATAGGTAATTATACATATTGGTTTGATATATTATTTTATTTAGTCATGATTGTTTGTTTTAATATTATAAAAAAAATTTTTTTTTTTGAAGATGTGGAAATGTCGCCGCAATTTTAGAATTAGACGATAAATTAAACAAAAATTACAAAATATTTGAGGCTGCACCACAAGTAGGAAAAAACTTATTTTAATTTTTGAGTGAATGCATGGTATCGAGTATTAACATTATTTTATTATTTTTGAACCTAGGATGTTCGTGGTTTACCAGCGAAAAAACCGGCACCTGACTATTTCCTGTAGACTGTTGTGTTAGCTGAACAACAGGTTCAGGGGTCAGCTGATACACATATAATAAGGACACTAGGCAGTCAATAATATATATTATATTTTTATATTAACTAATATTTAAGTTTAAAAAAAACTATACTATAATCTTTAATGATAAAAAAAATAAAATTTAAAAATTCATATTTATAATTTTGCATCGAAAAAAAGAAATTGATAAACCATAAAAATTTGGTGGAGAAAAGCGATATGATTAAGGTTGATTTAGGGTTGGGTAGCTTACATAAGTTAATGTAGATTTTATTTATTGACATATATCTCACGTAAGCTATCTTTTTTTAAAAACAGCTAATTTCGGACTCTACCCAAAGAAGTTTACTTATATTTTTAGAATATTTTAAAGTCTACAATAGAAATTTTCTATAAATCGAATTAATTTATTTGTAGCCATATAGTCATTAAAATAATTTTTTTTATAAAAATAAACTTTTATAGTTAGATGATTAAGATTAGAGTATTGGTTGTATATTGTAAAAAGTATTTGATTTAAATTAAAATTTTTAATATATTAATATTATTTATTTAATATATAGTTATATTTATATATAGAATTGTAATAATTTAGTAATTAGTTAAGTTGTTGCTTTTAGGTAGCAGGTTTAAATCTTAAATTTTACTAATATCAGTTTTTAAATTTTAGCTTATGCTGTGTTATAGCTTACTGTTTTTTTAAAAAGATTATTTTTTTTAGTTGATTTTGATTTACTAAGAGTTATATTTACTTGTTTGTATTGTATAAAAAATACATATTTTTTAAAAAAATAATAGCCAATTAAAAAATACAAAGGGGAGTAATATTTGTACCCCCAAATTTGATATCCATAAAATTAAAGTTTTTTTTGAACTTAAAACGAAGTTATCTCGATAATACCAAGCCAAATTCGATAAATTTTTATTTTTTTTTTGAATTCTATGAACACGTGGAATTCAAATAAAAAAAAAGCCATCGAATTTAGCCTGGTGGTTGTCAAGATATCTTCACTCAAAGTCTTAAAAACTCTTATTTTTGGCAACCACCTAGTCAAATTCAATAAACTTTTTTTTGGCATGGTGGTTGTCAAGATATCTTTCAAAGGTTTAAAAATCTCAAACGCCTATAATAGCTGTGTCAAAAATTTTCCCAATGTTTGAACGAAGGTATCTTAACAACCACTGGGTCAAATTCGATAAAATTTTTTTTATTTGAATCCTACAGATCCGTAGAATTCACATAAAAAAAAAGTTCATTGACTTTGGCTTGGTGGTTGTCAAGTTATCTTTGCTCAAAAATAAACAGAATTTTGACGTAGCTTCTGTTTTGATCGACGTTTTGAGTTTTTTAAGACTTTGAGCGAAGATATCTTGACAACCCAGGCCAAATTCGATAAACTTTTTTTTATTTGAATTCTGCGTGTTTATAGAATTCAAATAAAAAAATCTATCGAATTTAGCTTGGTGGTTATCGAGATAACTTCGTTTAAAGTTCAAAAAAACTTTAATTTGTATGGGGGTGCGGATATCAAATAAATATCACTCCCCAATACAAATGTTATAGAATTTAAATATATTGGTTTGTATTCTAATAACTAGATTAGTAAAAATTTTTTTAAAGATCTTGTACAGTATATTTAAATTCTTAGTTTTAGTATTTATTTTTAATTTAAAGATTTTGTAATATTGTTAAAGCTTATACTATATTATTTCTTTTTTGGAATTTTTTTAAACAAGTTTTTTAGTTTTTTTTAGCTTTATATAATTATAAAAAACCTATTTTAAGTTTGTACTAACTAGAATAGCTTGTATATTTTGTATTATACAAATATTTTTAGAATCTTTTATAAAGCTAATATGGAGTCCTTGCAATAGAAAGGGCTGATATTTCAGCATTGTGGAAATCGTTGTTTTGTTGGAGTAAAGTATTCTTTTTGAATATCGTTCTTGGTTTCATTGTAGTTTCTGGTATTTTTATGCTGATTCTTTTATGCTGGTCTTTTTTTATTTATTTATTTTTTTTTTTTAGAGATTCAACTACTTCTTTTCTGATATGGTCTTGATTTGAAGCTCTTTCGTTCTTTCTAGCTAGCATCTCAAACATAGCTAGATGTCAATTTTGAATATGTGAATGGGTTCTTTCTTCTAGTGGACATATATAAAAGATGGGTTTTTTAACTTTTTGTTTTATAATTTGCTTGATTAACTCTTTGTTTTTAGTAAAGCATAGTTCAGCAAGAACATCAGGACATAATCATGCAGTATAAGAATAGAGGACTTTAGAGTAATACAGAAGATATAATGAGCCAGAGCCTTTTCAGGTCTTGTTTCAAACTTTTCTAGTAAATTGGCTGGATAGATAGTAGCCAATATCTTGAAGATAAGTATCAGACTTTTTTCTTTAATATCTTTTTTTTTTTAAATATTCTATTAATAAAAGTTCTTTTTTTTTGGAGCTTTAGTTATTGGAACTCTTTTTTTTTTTTAGTATTTTATCTATTGGTAACTGGTTTCTTCTAGATAACCAATATAGAGCTCCTAGTTGTCTAATGAGACATATGTAAGATATTAGTTGGTTGCTAATATGAAGCCAAATCCAAAAAAAAAGATAGATAGTAATTGATAACAAACTAGATTTAGAGTAAAGTAATATATAAGGAATGTGAAATGTAGAATATTGGATATTAGTGAACATGTATCAAGATGTGAGATTGTTCTCGAGAAGAAACAATTCAATGAGCATTATTCGTACATTCAAAGAATCTTTAGAACTTCTTTAGATAGAATTTCTAAAGTTTGATTATTGTTATTAGATGCAGAACAAATATCCTAGTAGTTAGTTAGGAATAGTATTGTTAGCTATAAGAAGAATTAGGTTTAAAAATGAGTGAAAGATTTTGGGGTTGAATTTAAAAAAAGGAATTAGTATGTTAATATTAGAGATAAATAGAACAGGTTTAATTTGAGATTTGGTTTAAATTAAAGATAGGTGAGAGAATTTGGATATAAGTTTAAGAAAAGGGATTAAATGGGTTGGGTTAGAATTAAAATAGAGAGAATGGGTTAATAAAATAGATTAAATTTAAAAGGGGTTTTGGGTTTAGAATTAAGAAATCAGATAGGTGGTAATTATAAAAATAAAATTGGGTTTAGAGTTAGAAATGAGTTATATTAGAAATTAGAGAAACAGAATAATTTGTAGTATATGATAGAGTCAAATTTGGTTAAAAGTATTATATATATTAAATTAAATTAAATATAAATAAAATAAAGTAAAATAAATAGATCATATTGATATATCTGCTAAGAACTAAAAATTGGTTATAAGTTCTTTGCTTTGGTTACATGATTTAGATCTTTGTTTTGAAGATTTGGCAAGTGCTAAATTTAAGCTCTTTAACAATTTTAAACATTTTTTTTTTTTTAAAAAAAAACTATAGATATTTTTTACTAGAGTATGTAGTAGAACTTTTCTAGCTCTAGTATTTGAAGAGTATATGATAAAATCTTCCTAGCTTCAATAGTACAATATTATATAGACTTCTGAGTCATAAAATATTCTAAGTTTCTTCTAAGTTTATATTTCACAGGGTTGGGATTACTTACACTTACACTTTGGCTTGTGGATAATTCGCAATTAACACTTTTGGTTAAGGTTTGCAATAAGCTACAAGCTCTGGTTATTACAAAAGCAAAGGCTTCAAGTGGCTTTTCTGTACAAGTCTCTTTTAACTTGACAGGACTTTCTGGTACACTATTACTCCTTTAGTAATGCAGACATTTAAAATCTTGATGATAACTACTCTGGCAAAAAAATTATAGTGATATAGCATATTTGCCATATAAGTAGAAGTGCTACATGCTGCATAAATGCTGTAAGTAATATAAATACCATAAGTCATATAAATGCCATATGCTATATAAATTGTATAAATCATATAAATAACTATGTCATATAGGAGGACTTTCTCATGATTGGTCAATTTAATTTGGTTTTAAAAAAATGTAACTATCATTTATAATACTACAGAAGACTCTTTGCAAACAAAGTTTTAAATAATGATAAAAAAAGCTTCTAAATTTTAACATTAAAACAAGCTAATAATTTTTTTTTAAAAAAAAAACAATTAATAATATTTAAGAAGTAAATAAGCTTGCTAGTAATGAGTGATCTAAGTTAATACTTGAGATAGATTGGCATTTGGTTCTAGAAATGCTCTTGGGTTAGTTAGTATAGAAGGTTAATTGTAATTAAAAACTATAAATTTATTTGTATACACAATAAATAGCAACTTAATAATTAGAAGCAGACTAAAATGATTCAATATAATTTAATTTAAATAGAAAAAATTATATATCTATCACTATATAAAATTACAAAATAAAAATTTTTTATCAAACAAATAAAAGAAAGAACTATAATCTTTGCAATACATAATAAGCTATCTTAAATAAGCCACAAATGAATAAAGTAAATCCTATTTTTGCTTTAAAAAAAAAATAATAATAAACATAAGTTTTTTGGACTTGTTAATTTTCAAGATTCTGAAATATAAAACTAGTTAACAAATGTTTTTTTATATTTAAGTAAAGCTTCAAGTATCATAATCTATTTTAATATTATTGTAAAGTTAATATATATATATTCCTAATTTCAACACAACTATTGTGTTTGTTAATATTTCTGTAAATTACTTAAAAGATCTAAACTGATTTAACTTACAGCAATGGGAAATTTGGTGATATTATTTTGCCAACTGTATAAGATATTAAAGACAAATCACTGTTTATTGACATAGATTCAAGTGATTAAGTAGATTTAAAGTAAATTATACATGTAGTATAAAAATAAAAATCTTGCAGGATATTGGGAATGTACTAATATGCTCAACTTTAGTCACACAAGTCATAATATACAACATAGGTTACATAAATTATAATACACAATACTATACTACATATAGTATAATGGCAACATAACCCAA